TACTTTATGATTGCATATATTGAAGATGAAGAATGAAAGAGAAAAAAAAATGCAGGCGATAGAAAAGAAAATAACGATGAAAAAAAAAGAAATTTTGTCCAGCACTGATGACAAGCATGATGCAATAAGATACATAAAGAAAACGGAGAACTTGAACGCTTTTTGTGTACATATATACCGAAAGTGCTACAAATAAATACTTCCTTTGCATTAAATATAAACGCAAATAAGTCAACTATGTGTGAACATCAGATCTTTAATTTTTTTGTTTCTCTGCTGTTGTGAACATAAAGAGAGAAAAAGAAAACCGACAAAGAATCCGGATATGAACAAAACATATAAATGGAAGTTTGCATGCTCTTCTGTCTAAACATAAATATATGTTTATACTTAATCATAAAAGAAGACATTTACATGCAGAAAACTTCTAAAAAAAAAAGACTTACAAAGTGTCATACCATCATTTTATATACATTAATTTAGTCAACATTATCCAAGGCTATTACATCTTGAGATCTTAGAAGACGTGCAAATGCTTCTAGTCTACTAATTCATATTAACTAATGTTAGATAATGTCTTTTATAACTCACATGATGATGTAATAATAAAGAATAAAAAAAAAAAAAAGAACACGATAAAGAAAGAAAACAGAGACTTGACACATTATATGTTTACAGATGTATTGAATATTTCAAACATAATGCATAGATCAGACGACCATTCATTGTCCTTCATCATATACAAAAGGCTATAATGGTCATAGTATAAACGCGTTCTTTAACTATAGTCTGTCTTATTCCTATGAGATTATATTGGTAGCGTACAAATAAATAACCTTTTCAAAGTGTTTTTATGAATAGATATGTTTGTTTATATATATATATATATACATATATCTTTTTTTTTTCTCTTGATCCGATAGCCATGTCATTACAAGGTCTATTATATTATTTGAATAAGTTTTATTATCAAATTAATACTCTAATGTTCTTTCCCTTTTCGCATATCAATAAGACGTAAGGAAAGTTTATTTTTAGTCGCATCAAAGATTAAGAGATCTCAACATGTGTAATATCAATTAATAAGTGTATGCCTTTACCATATTACACACACACACACCAAAGACCAATCTATGTAAATGCTCTGTACATAATATAAAAAGAAGAAGAAATGACAAACGAGTTTGATAGTTCATTATAGGCTTTTTTCTTTTATCGGAAAAATAAAATACTTTAAGTCGTCATATTGTACATACGCAATTTCCTCTGACAAGAGAGACACTTTAAATCCCAATGATTGTGCGTGCTTCTTTTCTTCGGCAATATGGTGCAATTGAAAAAAAAAACGACTGAACTTATTTTATGTATAGACGGAATATTTCCTTCACTCTAATTGCATACTATATTATATAATCAAACATCATGAATAACAACGATTGACTAATAATAATCTAATAGTAAAAATAATATGTTATATACCCAGAGGAAAAAATTTTCTTTTTTTTTTTTTTTTTTGAATCATGAAAATTTTATTCTGCTTAATATGTTTTTCTGTTATAAAAGCAAATAATAATTCAATTTTATATAAAATTATTGCGTACTTGATTATATTTGAATAGATCTATTACTTTCTTTCGCTTGGGTACTAATGAGAGTTGATGTGTAATCATTATTCTTGTTGCGTATTTGCATTTTATAACGACAGGAGTTGTCCGATTTCATGCTGTTTGAGATAGAATATTATTAATACACTTGTTTAATTTTTCATATAAATGACAGCTCGACAGTTGGTCAGTAATTCTATAACGTATATGCAAATGAAAATAATGGCATATGAACTTGAAATGATTGCCATTGGGGGGTCATTTTTCTTTTTTCTTCTTTCGCTTTACTGTCATTGCTTGTTTGAATACATTGGTCAACAAGAAAAAAAAAACAATCGGTCAACTTGCATAGTGTTAATGATAATCATGTGGTCAAATTTCTATCTATTATTTATACTATATTGGAATTTTAATTATATAAATACAAATGAAAATGAATTTCATTGTAAGATATAAAATAAAAATTTATGTATTTAGTTTTTTAAATAATCTAATCTAAATTTTAGTATATATGGATAATCAAACATTATGTAATCAAGAAATAATCTATTTGAAAAATATTCATATAGGAAGAATTTATTCACATATTGATTATCATGTAAATAAATATTAAACAAAAAAAAAAACATTTTTTTTCTTTTACTTAAAATTTTTATATTTTTCTTTTTTTTGTTTTTGGTAGAATAAATATTTTTATTTCCCAGACAATCATTGTACAATAACAATACAAACTAAAAAACGTATATGGATGTCTTTAGAATATTTTCAATCAAATTCTAGTTCATCATTTCCAAGATGTATTGATGGTAAATATGTTGGAAATGATGATCGATTACAAATTATTGATGTAAATATTACGATTTGTAATTTAGTTGAATTTGAAATGCACGAATTAATTTCAAAAAAAAAATTCTTTTACGAAAGTCGGTTCTCAAATGATAAATTGCTTTTGAATCATGACAATATGTATCATGTAGATCCTTATGAACTATCCTGAAAAGATGCCTTGATATTGGCTTATACTACATTTTTTTCGAGATTTTTTTTTAGCACGATGCTGCGGTCGCCTCAGGACTTAAATTAGGAAGTCTAATATAAAAACCGTGCTGTCTCTCTATCAACAATAGTATTCTTTTACAAATTGAGATGCTTTTCAGTTATGTTAAACAATTATTTCAAATAAAAATAGATCAAACTTATCAATTCTTGTAAAGAAATCATATTATTATTAAAAAAAAGTCACCCAAAGTATAGTATACATGTTGTTCAATATTAGTTACTGTGATGAAACATGATAGATTAAAATACAAGTTGTTACTATTAGAAACTTCAAGAATTTTTACATTGTATGTCTTTGTAGAAGTGCACGGAAGAACTGATTGGTTAATTGATATATTAAATGTGCCGATTTTTTTTAGCCGATTAAGTCAAGACTTTCAAGCGGCTGGTCGAAAAAAATCCGACTAATTTCAAATATGAACGATATAAAAAGCATGCTTTTACCATAGTCATATCTTAGGAAAAGAAAAACAAAAAAGACCTATTCTTGTTAATGCCTGTTTCCATGTAAAGTTACAAGTCGAAATGCAAAATTCAATTTCATTACTATCTCTGAGGGAAATCATAGTATTGCAAAATTTATTAAGAAGGATTATGTGTCATATATCATTGATCTTAGTGTTCAAACAACAAATTTAGTTTTCTATTCGATTAGTGCTAGCAATAAAACATGATGCTTGAATGTCATAACTATAACACACACAGGTGATGCAATACACCCTTGTGTTTAGCAATCACCGGCATTAATCTCCTGTTCGTATGAATAATTCTTTTAAAACAAGAATCATTTTCTCAGATAATCTCACTAATCATTCAATGTTCCAAAAATAAAAAATATTTTGTAGATATATATGAGCCATTTCGTCAGAAATGGAACATACACTTTTCATTTGACTTCTATTCTTTACAAAAGTCTGAATAAGTTTTTATAGAGTAGACTTATGTAAAATTGTTGGTTCTTTTAACAGACTATTAATTAAAAAGTAATTAGCAAATATTTCTTTAACTATACGAGAAGAAAATTCAAAGATTTTAAGATAGGACTGTACTGCACGAACTGTATCTGTGATGAAATTTTCAACAAAGATTGAATTCCCAAAATCTTCCTCTTAAAAACTGGTTTTCTAGTGATTCTGAAGAAAGATTTTTACTAAAATCAAGTTTTTGAAAAAACTAGGCGCACTCAGAAATAATTTTCGATAGAAATTTTGTAGTCTCAGGAGTAGGCTATGTCAATTCCGATTTTTTGTAAAGTAGAATGCATGAAGTCCAAAGTCGATATTCTTTTTTGTGTCACCTTGCTAATACTGTTTTTTTACTGATTACTCTTCTTAGCAGAGGTCTCCAGTATTGATTTTTTTCAGGGTATCGAATGTAACTTAACATACATGTTACATATAAAAATTAACTCTAGAAATATTTATTATCTCGAGATACATGTGTTTTAATTTTGCGTCACTAAAAAAATGACTTTATACATATGTTCTATTAAACAAATTCAAAATAGTGAACTTATTATTGTATTAAATCATCTTAACAAGAAACAAGTTTTTTTTTTTTGTGTTTGTACATTCGCGATATGTTTTATTACAGAATTATAAAATATTATTCCTATCAGAACTTCTTTTAAGATAAAATTTTATAGGGTTATAAAAATGGTTCAATTCTACGTATTATCTGTGGTAAAGATACTGATAAATATTTTGATCGTACACCATTAATTCTTAAAAGTTCAATATTTACAATTGATTGGCAAACAAAAAGTCAATCATTTGGTTTTGAATTAAAATTTATTTTATATGATTTAGCTATTGATGGTCAATGTTTAAATTCCAATCAATTTCAATGTAAAAATAAACGATGTATTGATAAATCATTAATATGTTATGATGAAGATTATTGTGGAGATAAAAGTTATGAAAATAGTTTAGAAAAAAATTCTCAATGTATAATGAGTATGTATTTAAAAAAAAAGAACAAAGGTTTTTTTTTTCTTTATTTTAATTTATTTGTTTTTTTAGAAATTGCTAAACAAAAAACAATTCATTCATATTTAATATTTATTCTAATAATTTTTTGTTGTTGTTGTTTATTTGTATGTATTTTAATATGTAGTTTAAAAATTTGTAGAAAACGAAGTAAAAATAAAGAATGTGTAGGTGGATTATAATTTCCTTAACATGCAAACTTTTTCTATGGTTTTCTATTTTGTATGATTTTATTAATCTAATTCAAATCGGATGTTTGCAACAAAGAATTTTTACTATAAAAAAAAACAAAAGTGCAACAAATATATTCAATATTCAGAAAACGCTCAATCCATAAAAAGTAAAAATTATGATTTATTTAAAATTTGTCTGTATTCAAGTAAGTTTAAGAAAAATAAGTTTCAAATAGATTTATTATCTTTTATATTAGTTATTATTTATAATATTTTCAAATCGAGTATTAACACAATCATTTGAAGATATTGATAATAATAATAATCAACATATTATTCCATTATGTGGTTGTTTTTATAGTATAGCACAACTTGAACAAATTGGATTGAATAAAGATAATAATGATCAAACTGAAAATATTGACCAAAATGTTCTTAAATTAATAAAACGACGTCCACAAGCAAAATTTAATCTTGCTGGATTATGGGGTGTACCAACAAAATTTGCTTGAAAAAGATTTTCATATTTTCTTTGGTATTATTTAAATGTAAAGAAAAAAAAAATCATTTTCTTTAAATAAAACTTACGAATATCAAAGATTAATTCAAAAAGAATAAATCTAAATTTTCTTATCAGTAATATGAGATTATTATTTATTTCAAAAATATACTTTAGAAAACATATTCACATCAAATCTGAAAAGAATCATATAAATACAGTAGTATTTTCTACTATGAAAAATTCAATTTTCAATCTTCTGTTGTATTTTAACATCAAAAGATTTGTATAAAACTCGAAGATATCTCTTTTTTGTAAAAAATCATTTGTTTTTTAGTTTCTTCTAATCTGAACAAAATCATATTCGTGTATCTTAGGCAATGAAAAACTATGAATTTGGTTCTCTGAAGACTCCGTATTGAAGAATTTTATTTTGCTATAATATACAGGCTATCCAGAAAGTCATCTATCAAAAATAAATTTCTATCTTACCACTATATTTTAACCAAACGAGCTAATTTTTTTCTCTAATAATAAAAGAAAGTTCCAAGTTTTGTTTTTTTCATAAGAAAAAAGTTTATTAAAGTGGCTTAAGATGATTATTATCTAGTTAAAAGAGGAAAAGGCAACTATAAGTTTTTCACTAAAGAATGTGATATATGTAAGCTTGTAGAATAAGTCTATATATATATCCCATTCTGTAGTCAGAACTTTACAGGCGCTATTGGAGTTTCTATCAAAGATACACAACAGATTTTTCGGTTTCTGTAATATGATTCGAATTTCTTATGTACTTAAATTTTCTCAATTTGTGAAATAGTTTATTTGTGATAGTTGAGTTTTTGCTTAGCCGATCAAGTTTCTTTGATGCATCACAGGATTCTTTCCAATGGTTTTATACAGAAAAATTGCTCAAGAAGTCTGAGGAACTTCAGTTAACTTTTGATAGGTTGTGTTCATGAAGAGAAATAAACGTTGTTGAGTGATTTTTAATAGTCATTGTAAATTAAAGAATAAGAATTTGAACTTTTTCAATGGTATATCTCACAACTTAATGATATGAAAGTTTATGAAATATGTATTTTTCAAAAATTGTTAATATTATGATCATTTCGAAAATCTTCTTGTCTTTCGAATGTATAAGCTTTAGAACTGGGAAAATAGAAATTCCAAAATTTTATCAAATATATAATCAAACTTGTTGGAAATATTGTGAAGAAGAATATCGATGAAAAATTATTGTTTGATATACAATTATTTATATATTAAAAGTATAATCTCTAAACAGATCAATTTGTTTTATTCCTATGTTTTATCTATAACGTGAAACGAAACTCATAATTTGAAAGTCAACCAGTCGGTACACTTAATTATTTCTAATAGTTCATCAATTATGAACAAATACATAGAGTTATTCATTTCTTTTTCTATTTTTGATAATACTTAACTAGTATAATGGTAGTATTGATCAATGTCATAGAATTATGGCAAAATAAAGATTGTAAAAATGTGATACTCAATCAAATAAAATTATAGATTTTTATTCTTTCGAATTTTCGAGAGAGAAAAAAAAGTATAAGTCTACCGAGAGAGGTCCCTTAACTAATTAATCGTTTTTAAGTTGAAACTATGTGCATCATGTAGACATTAATAGGTTATAAATACCTTGAAAAAAGCTTGAATCCATAACTTATTGCTGTTGACATACCACATTTTTTACGGTATATTTCAATACAATGCAGAACACCAGAAAAAATAATTTTCGAATTTCAACTTGGAACTTTGCATAGGAACAAGCCTTGACGAGAATATTTAGTCGTGAAAGTATCAGACCATATGATCTATTCCTATCTTGAAATAAGAGCAACAAATCTGCGGGTGTATACGACTAAAGTAAAAGACGTGCTTTTATCATGGTTGTATTTCTAGCCGAAATTCGAAAAAAACAGTTTTTCTGATGTTCCGCATTGTATTGAAAAATATTGTAAAAATGCAATATATCAGTAGCAATAAGCTATGTATTCGAACTCTTTTCGGAGTATTCCTAATCCGTTAGGATCTGTATGATGCATACAGTTTCATCTTAAGAGTGATTAATCAATTAGAAGAATTCCCTCGTAAGACGAATGATAATAAAGAAAACAATCATCAAAAAACTTCTATGATAGATCGGTGGTTGGTTTGTTTTTATATCTAAAAACAGCAATTCAAATGTTATAAATTGAATAAGTCAACATCTGAAAAACTGATAAGGGAACCTTCCCAGGTAACAAAAAGCTTTTGAGTTGAAATTTCGTCCACAAGTAGGAGATGTATAGGCTAGAGAAAGCCTCAGAAGATATGGAGATTCAGAAAATGTACTTGATTTGTCTGTCAAACAGTTTCATTTTGTCAGATATCGATTTTCTCAGTGATATCACGCTTCACAAGCTAATTTTTTGGCAACTGGTTTTCCAATTTCTTTCAGGGTTGTAACAAAGTTATTTATATCATTAGCTCGACTATATTTCGAAATATGTTTCCCTATGTTCAAATCTTGAAAAGTGCGATTTTTATTTTTAGCAAAATGTCTACTTAGATGCACTCTATTGAGGAGGGAAGAGTTTTAATACATTAATTTTCTATTGTTAAAAAATATTTCATAAAATAGAACTCTCTCTCTCTCTTTTTTTTTATTTGCTTTCTTCATCATACAATAGATCGACAGATGTTTTAATAAAACATGATAGGCAAAACAAACTTTCTTTTATAAACATGTTGTTCACTTTTCATCGAAGAAAACAAAAAATAGAACGAGTATTCCTAATTCCAGCGGAGATTTTAAATATTCATGTTTCCTTTTTACTATCTCAGAGAAACAGTGAGCAAATAAGTTCAAATTTAACAATTGAATAGGCATATGACTTATCTACCGATTGATAAAAAAACTTTTTTTAAAAACTAACATAAATCATTCACTTATGAGTGGTAAAATAAAGTTGATTGATGACGCTTTAATAAAGTGCAATGTTTCCCATTAAGAGAATCAATGTAAATGTTGTCCCAAATTAGAGTGCACCATTATAAATACATAGAAAAACGTTTTTCCATGCACTTATACTGGTGTACTCTAATTTGAGGCAACTTTTACATTGATGCTCTTATTGGGGAATATTGCACTTTATTAGATCGTCATCAATCGACTTCATTTTACCACTCATAACTGAGTGACTTTTTTAGCTTTTGAAAAAATTTTTTTATCAATCTGTAGATAAAACATATACCTATTCAATTGTTAAATTTGAACTCATTTGTTTACTGTTTCTCTGAAATATTAAAGAACAAACATGAATATTTAAAATCTCCGCTACAATTAGGGGAACACCCGCTATAAAATTGTAAACTAGAAGAGTTTTATGTCCGATATGTTTTCTTTTTTTCGTGAATATAAAATTGTCTGAAGAAGAATAAGACAAATAAAATAGTACATATCTATATAAATATTTCAAATAAGTATGACAATTGTCTATAAATATGATTTGTATTATTAATATTGTGTTGACAACCAGAAAAATAAAACTAACTAACAGATGGAGAGAGAAAATGACGGAAGTAAAAAGTCCAGTAACTAGAATTTCCTAGATTTTTATGTGAGTCAATAATTGGAGTTTATTTTGAAAACAAACGAGAATGAAAGAGTATATATCAATATAACTATCTTAGTCTTTTTTTTTTTTTCATTTCAAATAAGAAACTTTCCTCAACATTCATTTAACAAAATTTCTTGTTTTCTATCGATCATAATATTATTCATATGCATCATTTATCCAGTCATAGTATGATCACTCTTGGTATTTTCTACATATTATTAATTGTTGTCACTCCAGGAAATGCAGATGATACTTCAACGGATTTAAGTGTTACAGTTGAAAGTGTAACAAGTAGTAATTCAACAGTTAGATCAACTGGTAGCAGTATTCAAAAACAATCAATTATTATACCTTTTTCAATAATAAAAATTGCTTTTCTAGCATTAAAATACATTAATTAAATAATAATATACAAAAAAAAAAATCCAATGAAATGAATGAATATAGAAATATTTATTGTCGATTTTTTTTTTTGTTGTACTATTCAGTTTATTTTCATATGTAATATATTTTGTTTTATTTTTTTCATTTATGTGATGATTATATTTACTCTATAATAAGATAAAAATAAACTCGACATAGTTATATGCACTCACTTTGAACTTTATACAAAAAACGTAATAAATATCAGTACAGATTTTTTTGTCCTAGATTGACTCGTGATGTCAAAGTAGCAACAAATTACGAAGTAAAATCATAACGATGATGTCATTCATCGATATATTCATAATGAAGATCTTGAACAATATTTAAAATTTTAAGATGCACAAATCAAAATTTTTTTTTAACGTATTATTTTTTTGTGACTTACATCAATGTTTGTATTAATATACGTCATATACCGATTATAGAACGACAAATACAAAGGTTGTTAGATAAACAAAAAAATAGAAAGAACAAATTTCAATACATATGTATAAATCTTTTTCTTTTTTTTTTCTAATATCATATTCTTAGTCTCTCTTTCTGTATTGTATAAGAGATCATTTCTTTTCTATACGAAGATAGATTTAATTTTCATTAAAATATATTGTAATATTTTTTTTTTTTTTTTTATGAAACAAGTTAGATACACAGCATACATACAAATAAGATATGCTGTTCGACGAGGACAAATATAAGATACCTGAATGATAATAAAAACAAAGCAGCTGTCAATTATTTATTTCATATTGTATATCCGAACAAATTGAAGACTATACACCTATAAAGACAAAAATAACTCATAAATACGTCATAGCATTCTATTTTTAAAAAAAAAACATATGAATCAAAACAAATACAGTTATGGCTGTATTCAATCACGATATAGTATATATTAGAGGATGATCAAGCATATATTCTTGTATTATTTTTTATTTCTATCTGTTATAAAGGTTTGAAATAACTGAAATCGATTATATATTAACTTTATCAAACTATGATAAATCTTTTTCGATTAGATAACACACAATGTATATAACAATAAACTTATCACTATTTCTTGAACATCAATTAACTTTCAAAAAATATTTAACAATTCGATATATCTTTTCTAGATAAAACAAATGTCACGTGAATTCATTATGGGTTTTTTTATTGTCATTTTGGTTCTATTAGTTTCACAAATAGAAGCACAAGACACCAATACAGACAGTACATCTCCAGTGGTCGATCAAGATACGATGATAACTGAAACAGAATCTTCGCCAACAGACGCAGAAACTTTGCCAACAGGCTCAGAAACTTTGCCAACAGACGCAGCAACTTTACCAACAGACACAGAAACTTTGCCAACAGACGCAGCAACTTTGCCAACAGACGCAGCAACTTTGCCAACAGACGCAGCAACTTTGCCAACAGACGCAGCAACTTTGCCAACAGACGCAGTAACTTTGCCAACAGGCTCAACACCGATGATTAGTATCTCAACATACTCAACACCCATGACTACCATGTCAACAAGCTCACCCAATAATCGTGGTGTTACTTTAAATTCATGTAACTTTCTTTTAATTCTTTTTAGTGCTTTACTTTTATTTGTATAAATAAATATTTTTTCATTTAACATTCATGTTTTGTTTTTTTTGTACATAAAAATTCAGAATTCTAAATATACAAATAGTTAGACAACAAAAATAAATATACCGGCTGTAGTGAAAGTTTTTTTTTTTTTACATTTTTTGGTTTTGTATTATAGAAGAAGGCTGATTTTTATTCAGAAATTGTACTATTTCATGCTTGATCAGAATTACAAAACGAAATTTTATTAAATTATTAAAAGTGAACATATCATCTGTCTTTCGACTGCCTATTATAAAAAATTTCAGATATAGTTTCAATAGTCTTACATAGAAAATATTAATGAATATTCATTCATTGTGGAGAGTAACATTTCAAATAAAGTGACAATATAGTGAGTCTTCTAAAATTTTGTTTTGTACAAAGTTTGAAGTCGAAAGTTACGTAGCTCGAGGTAGACCGATCACAGTTCATCTAGTAAAATTTTGATATCTCAAAAATGAAGACCTGGAAAACCAAATCATTTACTAGTACTCATCAAATAAACATCAGCTCAGTCGAAAAACAATTTCACATCTGAAGAAGTTTTTTCGTAAGTTGTCAATACTTAAAATTTATCATTTTTGAATTTTTTCACATTCCTAATAATGTAAATAACAAAAATATTCCATTTCGTAAGTCTGATCGAGGATGAAAAGATACAATCTTTGAAAACAAAACGGAACTTTCTATCATATTCCTGAATAGAGATACAAGCAAAAATATCGTCAAAATTTTTGTTACATTCAACATACATACATAAAATACTACTACCACACATGTAGGAAATCTTGTTATCTGATTAAGAAAAAAAAAAATATATGTTCCTGAGAAAAAATTATCATTGTTATTGCTCATTGGTTAAATATATCATAAATGCATTCGTCATAGAATGAATAATTGCGATTGTTTTGTTAATGAAAAATAAAAATATACCATTGGCATAATGTGTTATTCATTAAAAACTATCATCATCAGACATTAAAAATAATTCTTCATCTGTTCGATTATCACTATCATATGAATAAAAATTGAATTTATTTTCAGGTTTTAATACTGTTAAAAAAGATTCATTGTCTTCTAAAATATATAAAATACAAAAATTAATGAAATTTAAATCTATTGATTTTCTTTTTTTTTTGACCTGTATTTAATTGTTGAACAAGTGATGACATAGCTGAAGTTAATGAATCAGCTGCAAGAAGAAGATCAGTTTGTACTAAAATAAAATAAAAAATAAAAAATAAAAAAAAAATAAAAAATGATTAATCATACAATGATTTGTTAAACGTTTATGAATTGGTGTTGATGGTGTTGAATAACTTTGAAATGAATTTTTTTTAAAATTTATTATATGAGAATTCATACATGATGGTGATATATTTAAACGATCATGTGAATTAAATATTGTTGATTGTTGTTGTAAATTATGTGAATTTCGACTGAGATTATGTAATTGTGATGTTAATTCTTCTCGACTTTGTTGTAATTGATAAATACGAGATTCTAATTGATGTTTACGTTTTAATAATGTTTGTAATTCATGTTCGAAATATGAATTTTTATTTGTTGTTTCAACTGAACCAGCACGTCTTATATAATGAATAGGATTCGATTTATATTGAATATTTGAATATTGATTAGGTAATGTTTGAATATAATGTTTTTCTATTTTAGAAGATACATCTGTATCACTATATGCATGATCATCATTAGTATTCATATGACTTAGAGATCGTTGTTTAAGTTTTGAACGTAATGTATTTATTTCATGACTAATACGTCTAAATTATAAAAACAATCTATGAGAAGATAATTGAACTTTTCTAATTGAAAAGTATTTTCAATCGGAAATTTTCCGTTGGCTTTATTAATAAAAAAAAACATCATCTGGTTCGTAATTGAAACTAGAATGAGTAATATTTTTTTGCTAAAATCCTATCACGAAATATTGTGTGATTAAGAGTTATTATCGATTTTTTTTTCTTCATTTCTATTGAACTACTGAATATTAACATTCTGAACTGTTTTATCAATATTCTTTAACTTAGCAAATATAAATAGAAATGTAACCCGATGAATTTAAAAAATTTTATAATTTCGAAAACGATGGTAAAGAATTTATTGATAAAGAATCAGACAGTAATATCTTCAAAACTGATTTTGAACGTCGGAAATATTTAAAAATCAAATATCTATTTTTGTTTCGTGACGGCGATTTACACCTCTAGACATAAACTAGAATACCATTCTATTTTGAATATTCATAACTCATTAGGATCTATATGATGCATATAATGTAAACTTTCAAGTGAATGAATAAGTTAGTTTAATGACGCTCAAAATTAATCATACAACATATTACAATTAAAAATCTTGTATTTCATTCTTTTAAACGATGAATTGCATGTTTTAATTAAAAGACGAATGAAACTTTATTAAAACATTTTTCAAATGTATCTTTTCGTTGAAAATAATGAAATGTGAGATACAATAGTCAGTCATTTTTAGTATTTCTAGACTGACATCGTATATGTATAACATAGTGAGCTGATATATTAAGTAGAAAAACTATGAAAACAGGATTATATTGTGGGCATAAATTGCAAATGTTAAAATCATCTTGAAAGAAACAAGATGATCGATTAGGTCAATTTTGAGTGTCACGATATGTTCTCTATGAAGGTTGAGCTTTCTCTTACACAAAAAAGAGATTTCCTGAAGCCGCCAAGATTGGGAAGGTCATCCCTTGTTCAAGATTCAGCTCCTTCCACCTTCAAAAATAATCGGAAATCTTAATTTCGAGGATGATATTATCGAAAAACAAAAAGATATTTGTTTTGTTTTAAGATATTAAATTTTACTCTTTTCTTTTACCTATTTTCTGCTTCAAGTTTAGCGATCATAAGTTTTTTTTCTTCACTTTGATGTTTAGTATATCTTCTTCGAGAATGATTTTGATTGAAAGAAGATTTTATTTGTGATTGTATTTCAATTGGATTTAAATTTTGTTTTTCATCAATTAATTCAAATTGTTTTGTATATAAAGCTATTTGTTTATGTTCATCATTATCGATTTTATTCGAAATATTTTTATCTTTATTTATTATTAATTTTGATTTATTATTTCTAATAAAATTTTCTTCTGATAATTGTTGTTTATTATCAATTGTTAATGAATTTAAACGTTGATTATGTTTTTCATTTCTAGGCATACATTGTAAAGATCTTTAAACGAAAAAAAAAAAAATGAAAATATGTACAAAAAAAAATTTCAAATTACTTTCGAATCGAATATCGAATATCTTTATTTGGTGATATAAAATATGTATATTCTTTCATTTCATGTGTTGATAAATGTTGATCTGATGTTCTTCCACGCCAAAAACAATCTTGACATAATTGATATGTTCGATTATGACATTGTTGACATTTATAACGAAAACCAGAAAATGATGGACGTTGACATGCTGAACATTTTACACGATGAATAACTTAAAAAGAAAATGAAATGTAAGGCTTGTCTTTTTTTTTATTTTTTAAATTTTCTGCTCAGTTCGCTTTTTTTCAACAGATAGTTGAAATTCAGTTCAAAATGTAGTAGAAAATAAAACATCATTGCAGAATAGAGAAGAAAAAAAGAAAAAACTTACCATTTTCAACACTTATTAAACGATGAAATAGAACAAGCCATTGTAAACAAATGGGTGTTCTATTACTATAGATTAATAGATCAAGAAAACCATCAAGAGTAATTGGTGATGATAAATGTGAAAATATTGATCGAGCAGAGTTTTTATTATATGTTGAATATGAAATTTCTTGTAAAGCATATGGTAATGCAAGAATTTCATGTAAAAGTTCATCTACTTGATTATATGTTAATGTATTTAATATTGATGATGATGATGATGTTGATAGACTACATGTAAATAAATGACGCATTTTATCAATTAATTTACCAGTACATAAAAGTATCAGTACAACACGAAATGAATTAAAACGTATTGATAATTGATCACAATTATAAACATATAAAAACCAAGCTATAGCTGAATGAACACATTTATCTATATGAAGAATTTGTCGTGATAATGGTAAACGTTTATTTAAATTTGTATAAATTGATGTAAGAAATATTGTTAAATGATTTATTGAAAGAAATTGATTATTATTTACTAAATGAGAATGAATTTGTTTTGATATACAAGAATTTATAGTATTTAAATTAGATTGACAAGATAAACTTGTCAAACATTCTCGAAGAGATTCAATTACATTTAATAAATCGAGAAGATGAACTAGAACAAAAATAAAAAAAAAATCAATGTATATATGCATAAAAGATTTTATATCATTGTCGAATTTAAATAGATTAACTTACAATTAAGTTTCTTTTGAATAAAACGTAATTTACATGCTATTCGATATGTTGAAAATCGAATAATATCAAAATTTTGAGCACCTATCAATAAACAATTTTCTAAATTAATTAAATAACAATTAGGAAAACATACGAAGCTCCATTTGTAATTGTTGTAATTCATTACTGAAGTTTGTATTCATATTTCACATTCAATATAAATATATGAAAAGCAAATTTATGTGATTCCTAATCCAAGAGAAGCAAATGGTTATTCCGAATAAATGAAAGAACAAGAAAAAAAAAATACCTAACTTACTCTCAAAAGAAAGCAAATATATCGATTGGTTATTGAAACTGTTAATTATGTTGTTCAGCTATGCGAAGAAGATGGCGCTCGATGTTATCAAATGAAAGGAATTTAGATACAATTTAATAAACGGATTTGTCTTTCTTCACTTCAACAATACAATTGTTAGTTGATCAAATATTCTATATGTACAATTAATAGGAGAAAAAAAACTCTAGATGAATTTATTCTGTGATAAGTTCTAAGAATTATTTGCGTTTCGTTTTCTTATTTGAAATGATTTTATTTTAATGTATTTCTGTTACTATGTAATC